CATCCCCCGGCCCCGCTCCTTCAGCATCCCGCGGTCCCTCGGCATCCCCCGGCCCCGCTCCCCGAGCATCCCGCGGTCCCCTCCGCTCCCGGGGGCGGCCCCGGGGGTGCTGCCGAGCCCCCCTCCCGCCGCTGGGGCGGTTCCAGCGCTCGGTGCCGGTGCCGGGGGTGGGGAGGGGGTCGCGGGGGGAGCGGGTGCGCGGCCGGGGCTCGGGATGACGTGATGTCTGTGCCGGGCCGCGCCCGCGCCCCGGCCCTTTGTTCGCGCTCCCGGGGGCGGCTGCGGCACCGGCACCGGCGGCACAAGGCGGGGCCCGGCCGGGACGACCGGGGGGTGCCGCGGGGCCGGGCGGAGGGGGGGTCCCGCAGCCCCCCGGAGCGCCGGTGGGGCCCGGGCGGAGTCGGGAGCTGGTCGCGGGAGCTCCGCGGAGGGGATGGAGAAGCTCCAAATCCCGCTCGGCCCCCGCGGGGAGAAGGGCCCGGGCAGTGCCGAGCCCAGCCCGGGCAGGTTTTGCCGAGAATCCTGGAATTTAAGATGTTTTTTTTGCTGCGGCCGCGGGGTGAGGAGGGCGGGGACCACAGCGCTGAGGGGCCGGGGGTTCCAAAGTGATGCTCTGGGTGTCCTCCAGCACCCCCCTGACCTTCCCCTCGGAGCTCCGGCCCCGCAGTCACAGCTTTTCCTTTAAATCCTTAAATACCCACCCATATCCCTCCATCCTCCACCATTTATCTGATGGCCAAACCCACTCACCTCTTCCCTCCTGGCTTTCCTGGAATCCCAGAGCCACCACGTGCTGCCACTGTTGGACCACTGGCCATCGAGGTTTCATCAGCAAACATCCATTTTTTAAAGGAGGCTTTCCCCGATTTTTGGTTTTGTTTCGGTCAAACCGCAGCATCACCTCGGAGCAAAGGTCTCTTCCACAAAGTTTGGGGAAAAGGGCAGAGAGTTCTGCTCTGCTGGAGGGGGGTGCCAGCCTGTGGTGCCATTCCAGGTGGGCACTGGGCACTGGAAGTGCCCTGGAAGCTGCAAAGGCCTCACTAAAACTGGCTCCAGGCGGCTTTGGATCCGTGTGGTTTCCAACTGGAAGGAATTATGGAGACAGGACCAACGGATGTATGGAATGGTTACATAAGTAGGAGCCTTCAGCTGGGAAAAGGGGGATTATGGGCAGCACAGGGGAGGGAAAGGGTCATTCCCTGCTCCTCCTAATGCGGGAACAGGCACTGGAAGGGATGAGGTGGGACACAGGAAAACCCTCCTTGCTCCTGGGGCTCTTTGCCACAGAACATCCTGGGAGCCAAATTTAAGGGTTGAGAGAATGTTTAGGGGTTGAGGGAATATTTAAGGATTGAGGGAATATTTAAGGGTTGAGAGAGTATTTAGGAGTTTAGAGAATATTTAAGGGTTGAGAGAATATTTAAGGGTTGAAAGAATATTTAAGGGTTGAGAGAATATTTAAGAGTTGAGAGAATATTTAAGAGTTGAGATAATTCAATGGGAGAAAGATCACAGGGACTTATTTGGTGCTTTTTGGGGCTGCTCCTGCACCTCAGAGGTGCAGGAAAGAAAGGTACAGGAGCTGATTTTGTGAGGACACAAACAAAACACACACCAAGAATGAGAATAAGAATAAGAATGAGAACAAGAATGAGAATAAAATAAGAATAAAATAAGAATAAGAATAAGAATAAGAATAAGAATAAGAATAAGAATAAGAATAAGAATAAGAATAAGAATAAGAATAAGAATAAGAATAAGAATAAGAATAAGAATAAGAATAAGAATAAGAATAAGAATAAGAATAAGAATAAGAATAAGAAAAAGGAGTTTCAGCATTCTTCTTGAATATCCACCAAAGCTTTTAACAGTTGACTTGTCTCCAAATGAGCTGTTTGAGAGCACTTGCCTCCTTTTAAAGAGGGAACATTAAATAACAAACCAAAGTTGATTTTTTGGGGGGTGTTTTGTCAATATTATAAACCCCTCTTGCTTTAGTTAATTCAGCCCAAGGCTCTGTTTGCAGGGAGACCTGAGGCAGATTGCTCTGTGAGACCAGTCAGCAGCGCAGAAGATTCCAGCTGCAGGCTGGGAAGGTTCCTGCCGAACCAAAAAGTGGTTTTCCCAGTTTTGGGAAAGGGCAAAACCGTTTTCCCCGAGCCTGTTGGGTGCTCATGTCACATCCTGGCAGCCTTGTCTTCCTGCCTGTTCCCCTCAATAAATGGGGATGTGGGAAGAACAGAGAAAATCCCAACTCGTGGTGCTCTCTGGAGCTTCAGGGGTGAGGTGAGAGGATTGTTTTCTCCTGTTTGTGGTGCAGAATGAAGGGGGAAATCAGACAAATTTACCTTTTATTTTTAACCAGCTGTCCCGTCCGGCTGTTGCCGTGATTGTCGTGTCGGTGGTTCCTGGGGAAGAAGTGGTTTGTAAGGAAAGAGATGTGGGGTTGAAGCGCTTTTTTTTGGTTTGCTGGCTCCCAAAAATAACAGAAAACGGCTTTAAAACCGGGAACACAAAAATAAGTCCTGTGAAAAGTCTGGCTCTACTTTCCCTAAAACCTCCCACCAGGAATCTGAGGGCAGCACAAAGATCCCCCCTTTTCCTTCCCTTCTAGGACTGGGCAGCCCCTCCTTTTGGTCTCTCCTTGCCTTCCATCTGCTCCCCATCCTCCATCCACTCCAGATTCCCAGTCCTTGGCTGGAATTGCTGAGGGATGTGAGTCCTGGGCAGCTCAGGCTTCCCTCAGTGCCTGGGTAAAACCCTCTCCAGAGCCATCCATTAGGGAATAACCGGCGTGGCTGCCAAAAATAACCACGGGATGGGTTTTATGCTGCCCTGGAGAAGGTAAATTGGCCTAAGAGCTCGAAAACATCAAATAATCCCTAAGTCCAAACACGGGATTTTCTGTCCCTCGGTTGTTTTTTTTTTGGATGCTGGATTTCCATGGGAGATTTTGACCTCGTGTCGGGGGCAAACCAAAGCATTTTGGGGCAAACCAAAGCATTTCGGGGCAAACCAAAGCATTCCAGGGCAGACCAAAGCATTCCAGGGCAAACCAAACCATTCCAGGGCAAAACAAGAAAACATTTTGGGGCAAAGTGGTGTTTCAGGAATGGTTTTAGGACTCGGCTCCGGCGTTCCGGCCACGCTTCCCGGTGTTGTGAAAACAGAATTGTGTAACGTCTGCGAGCAGGGCATCAAAAAAATAAAAGCAAGTGCCTCCTGCAAATCCAGAACCCGCGTTCCTATGGAGATGCTGGTGAGGAGGGAGCCGGGTTTGGCAGGAGAAGGCAAAGCTGCTGTTTGAAATCCACGGCACACGGAGGGGGAAGAGAACGCGGGGCGGGAGAGCGGGGGGGTCGATCTGCGGGTGGGAAAGAGGGGAAGGAGCTTCCAGGGGGAGCTTTTGGCAGGATTGGGAGCCCCCCCCTGCCCGTGGGGGTCAGGCCCTGACCGCCTCGTGTCCCCACAGACGTGTCCCCCGTGGTGGCCGGGCTCATCGGCGCGACCGTCCTGGTGGTCTCCGTCTCGGTCACGGTGTTTGTGTGGACATGCTGTCACCAGCAGGCCGAGAAGAAGCACAAAACCCCCCCCTATAAGTTCATCCACATGCTGAAAGGCATCAGCATCTACCCCGAGACCTTGAGCAACAAGAAGAAAATCAACCGGCTGCGCCGAGACAAGAGCGGGACCCCCAAGGAGGCCGCGCGGGGGAACCTCCTGGTGGAAGCGGCCGAGTCGGGGCTGGCGGGCCCCGACAAGGCCCCGGCCGTGCCCGCCGCGGCCCCCCGGGTCGAGCAGCTCCCCATCCAGGTGGATTACGGGGACGAACTCAGCCCGGACCGGAGCCTCACCCCGGCGGGCAGCAAAACCTCCTCGCCGTCCTCGCCGGGCGACGACGTGACGCTGGGCGAGCTGACCTTCTTGGTGGACTACAACTTCCCCAAAAAGGCCCTGGTGGTCACCATCCAGGAGGCCCGCGGGCTGCCCGTGATGGACGAGCACACGCAGAGCTCCGACCCCTACATCAAGATGACCATCCTGCCCGACAAGAGGCACCGCGTGAAGACCCGGGTGCTGCGCAAGACGCTGGAGCCGGTGTTCGACGAGACCTTCACCTTCTACGGGATCCCCTACAGCCAACTGCAGGACCTGGTGCTGCACTTCCTCGTGCTCAGCTTCGACCGCTTCTCCCGCGATGACGTGATCGGAGAGGTCGTGGTGCCCCTGGCCGGCGTCGACCCCAGCACCGGCAAAGTGCAGCTCACCAGGGAGATCCTCAAGAGGAACATCCAGGTGAGTCGTCTCCGGACACCCCGGGGCTGATCCCGGGCTGTTCCCGGGGCTGATGCTGGGGCTGATGCTGGGGCTGATCCCAGGG